TCGAGAAGTTTCAAATCCCGAAAATTCGGGATTAATTTCCGGGGAACGGCAGCAATGACCCCGCGCCGGGCGACGAAACGGAAAAGTAGGGATTTGCGTGCCTATCTGCCAACGAGCTTTCCCGCTCGGGACGCTCGGTCATAACCGCGCATCTGCACCCGGGTTTCGGGTGGAGTTGTGCGGTTTTGCCGGGGGCGTTGTTCCATTCTTTCTTCCGCTCGTTCCGGCTCGCGCCTTCGGCGGGGTTTAATCCCGTTAGGCCTGTGTCAAAATTATTCCCCGACTCTGCACAATTTCATTTTCGTCCGGGTCCTCTAATTTATTCCGCGCTGTCTCCCCAGACGTTCCGCTCCGTAAAACGGATCTCCCCGGTGATTTTTTTCGCGCATCTGGGGGTCGATCGGGGTTGGAGGAGGGCGCGGGTTGGAGATGATAGAACAAAAGGAAATCTCAAGAGCTGCGACGATTTGCACGGTCTGCATCGCTCAACATTTTAGAATACCTCGGAGTAGAATTCGGAGCCTGCGGGCTGATGGACCACTAGACAAGGTAAAAATTTAAGCGATCTGATGCATGTTTCACTGGGAAAAAAACACATTGGATCTAGAGTCAAGGCTCTTAAAAACATCGACAAGAAAAAATAATCATGACTCGATCGGATTTTAGCTTAAATCAAGAACCAAGCGTCTTAATTGAAACGGATTTCCTTCTGATTTAAGCAAAAATCTGATTGAATCAAGAGTATTTTTTCTTGTCGATTTTTCAAGAGTCTGGACTCTAGATCCACTGTGTTTTTTTTCCAGTGTTCTTAACCAGAATTTCACGTCAAACACGATTCGCGCAACGAATATTACTGAAACCAACTTCTAACGAAGATATTAACGTTTTTATTTCACATTGGTTACGAGGAATTAGAACTGCCCGCTCACAAGAAACTCAAAGCTCTACGTGAGTCAAATCGCGCACTACAACGGTTTCAGCAAGCTTCTCAATCGAGCAATGTTCATTTCCCACAATACGTTGTTCAAACTATTAGCAATTTGCTACAGCTGAGCCAAAGCGTCAAGATTGAGGTTGCCAGATTTTTATATCGCAGAGACTGTCATGGTAACGTTTAGCGCGTTATGTGAATCACGGAGAGCTTAGAGTTTTCATGAGCGGGTGGTTTAAATTCACGCATCAAGAATCATTGAATATCTTTGGAAGGAGTTGATTTCGGTAATTTTTCGTCGTATTTTACGTGAAATTTTGGTGGCGAAACATGTATCCGATTGCTAAAATTCGTACCTTGTCTAGTGGTCCATTATGTCTACTGGTGCCGATCTAATGACACGAATCAATCCGAGATGATTTCTGTACAGGCGTATGCAACATTACAAACGAGGAACTTCATTTTAAAAAAAAAAATTACAATTTTAGAACGTGGTAAATATATGTAAAACATTTTCCAAGCGATGACATCTATATTAATCTGAATGAGCTGTAGTTGTGTCTAGAGAGACAATACAAACATGAATGAAAGAGGAAAAAACCAAAAAGCACGCAATCTTTGGTTTAAACTCATTTGTAGGTCGATTTTTTAGTGTCAAATACGTCCAATTTTGAGCGTTTGGTTGCGCGTACATTACGCTGCAGCATAGTAAAAGCCCAATGTATAAAGGATAAAATTAAAATGCTTTGAAAATTATTAAATTTGACACTGAGCCACCTTAATATTTACAAAACACACATTAATTTTCCTTCATAACATTTTTTTTCATCAATTTAAATGATTATAGTTCATGTAAAGTATGCAAACATTTCAAAATCATGAGTTGAAAAACGCTGACTCTGCGAGTATACGATTAAGAGCCTATCACAGAGCTGAGCGGCGTGATACCGGTGCGGAGCGCGCACTGGCCGGCCGGGCGGCATATTCCCAAACCCCGCGTGGATTGTGAAATCCCGTTTAGACCCCAACCGAAGCCCCTTGTGCGGGTCCGAGACTCCTCCGCACCGGCTCGGCTCAGGTAGTCTCTCATCTCCGTCCAACCTTCATGCCCTTCCTCTGATTNGAAGTATCCCCTTAGGTTTGTAGGGGCCAGTGCGCACTGGCCGGCCGGGCGGCATATTCCCAAACCCCGCGTGGATTGTGAAATCCCGTTTAGACCCCAACCGAAGCCCCTTGTGCGGGTCCGAGACTCCTCCGCACCGGCTCGGCTCAGGTAGTCTCTCATCTCCGTCCAACCTTCATGCCCTTCCTCTGATTTCTTCTCAACAGTTTTGCCCACGAATTAATCGATGTAATATTTATTTATTCAGTTGAATCTTTTGAAACAGCAGAATTTGAGGACTTTTTCGGTAAAAGGGCGAATGGAGCTTGCCATGCTGTTGCGATTGCGCAGTTTTCTTACCGTTCGCGGCAAATGAAATTCATTCACAGTCGATTTATGTCCTTTAAATCGCCAGGAAAAACTCTGAGCAGATTCAACGAAAAATAAACAGCAAAACAGTCGGATAGAGAACTACGTTGCACAATCTTAGCAGAAATGGACGTCTCATACGCCCTTTCACCGAAAAATGCCTAAATTACGTGCAGTGGAAATATTTTTTAATGCCGAAAATTTCGCAATGCAGAGTCATGACGTCACCTTCGTTGATCGCATGATCAATAAACTTGTCTATTGGCTATGCCTACCGTTTTGTTCTTTGTAAAAAACATTTTTGATGGAAAACTCTCGGAACATTTTTAGAGCAGCGCAATGCATATGCATCTCACAAGCCTCTTTGATTAGTGGAATTTGCGGAGCTTTTGTACTGGAAAAAAATGATTACGTAAGAATTAATATTCTTGAATTTGCCGCTAGGAGGAGATTTCTCTTGGCTTAAGCTGCAAAATGCGTACCTACTTTGAGAAAAAAGCCGCTGCCGCTCATATCAAGCAGGATTCGGCCTTATTCCAGTGACCTTATTCTTGATTCAAGAGCAGTATTCTTGACGAAAAATTCAAGTAATTTTTTTTTCTTTTTTCAATTATTTCCTTTCTTTTACTTTTATAGTTCTGCGCAGAACCTATCACCTTGCTTGAAAAGATAAACAGTAAACCTGGTGGTGAAGAAAAGTTATAAAAAAAAGTCTCTGCATTTGCGAGGATGAATATGCACTTGGTGTCTCACCCGAACCAATAGGAGAGCTATTAAAACCCCATTAAATAGGAATAGAAATTTTTATGAAAAATAAATGTTCCCCAAAAAAAAATCATCATTCAACTACGTTGTTTGAGAGACTGAACATAATGAATGAAGGCAGAAACCTAAAAATACTGTTTCAAATGAAAATGATTACTTAAAGCAAGGTTGATAAATTTTTTCGCGGTGTTTGGAAACATAAGAATGATCAAATGAGCACATGTAGGCTAAGTATACTTAGGTAATTGGTGATTTATTATACATTCAAATTTTCAAAGTATCAAAAACATAAAAATGCGATCAAAACTGGAACGAAGCGAATTTTCCCCGTTTCCGTTGTCCATATCGGTTGGACAAATATCCCGAGTAACAACACGTGCTGTTCGGCACGAACATCCCTTGGACACTGAAAAATTAGGAGGCAACATGCCGCCTGCATCAATATCATCGATGTTTGGTATTTGAAATCCATATCGGAAGAGACAGGGTATGACTTGACTCTGACCTGAAAAAATCGTCCCAAGTGAATCGAATAATCACGGTTTTTCATGAACAAGTCAATGATGCATTTCAAAATGCACTCAACATGTGACAAGGGCTTGTTTTGAGGAGGAAGAAGATATTTTCCGGAAAACAAAAAGAGTGGACCGCGAGGTCACCCCCATTCATTCCGAAGGGTTGAAGAGACAATCAGACGGCGCGGCGAGACGCCAGACGGGAGAAAGGAGAAAGGAGAGAGGATGGCCGCAGTGCCCAAGGCCACTTGCTGAAGAGGCCCATGCCGACCGCGGCAGGGCTCAGAAGGCAGCGGCTAACGATTTTGAGGACAGGCTAGATTTTTCACAATCCACGCGGGGTTTGGGAATATGCGGCCGGGCGCCGCGCCGCAGCGTGCCACGGCGCCTCAAGCAACTATTTCACAACAGAGGTGTTGCACAGTGTCATACGAAATTGAAGGCGATCCAACATATTAAGAATTTCAGACATTCTTTAAGAGTACGGAACTTTCCTCGCAAAATAAATCAAGATACTACAACGGTTTCAGCAAGCTTCTCAATCGAGCAATGTTCATTTCCCACCATGTGTTGTTCCAACTATTAGCAATTTGGTATAGCTGAGCCAAAGCGTCAAAATCGAGGTTGCCAGATTTTTATATCGCAGAGACTGTCATGGTAACGTTTAGCGCGTTATGTGAAACACGTAGAGCATTGAGTATTCATGAGCGGGTGGTTTGAATTCACGCATCAAGAATCATTAAATATCTTCGTAAGAAGTTAATTTCGGTAATTTTCGTTGTGTGCATCGTGTTTTACGTAAAATGTTGGTTAAGAAACATGTATCAGAATGCTGAAATTCGTACCTTGTTTAGTGGTCCATTGTTGAAATTGGTTGCCAAAGCTATAGACGAAGAGGACAAGAAGTATATGGAGGGATTCTATTGGTGTAAGTGGGTGGTTGCAATGGACATAGGTGGTAGGTTATAGACTAACTAACGGCAACCCACGGGAGACCCTATAGTTAGTCCATCATTTTCTCCCTTAGTTCATAAGAACCACTCCTTACTCCTTATGTCTGATTTGTCTATAGCTTTGTCCGTCAATTTAACATTCAGCATGCAGATGCAAAATTCAGAGGCAATTCTCGCAAGTTGGCAACACTGGATTTCATCTCTTTGAATATGATCGTCTTGGAGGGGAGAGACCTTACGGAGGAAAAAAATTCAGTGGAGTGAAACTGGTTGAGTTGGGTAGAAAAAACGGATTTTGGGATTTCAAAGGAAAACGCACTTTAATATCTTAAAGAATAATTTAAGAGCGGTTTAGTTAATTTTGTATTACTTTATACATAATTTTTATCAGACATGGCTGAGACATCAGACAATTTCCCTATTTTACTCCATTTTTATCTCATAACCCGACAACCTTGTTACAAATGGAGTGCCTCTCTAGGCTGAGCATAATGCCATGTCTATACCACTCTCCAATTGGTTTATCAGTTTTCAGCTTTCTCGAGCTGATGACGTCATCTACCACGTTTTAGTACTTTTTTCTTTAGGCTCCATTCGTTTACAGACCGACAAATGAATTGTGCAAGCATGATTTCGGTACAACTCGCTGGCAATTGAATGTTGAAGTCTAAAGTCCCCAAAAAGCTTCAATCTTCAGCTGCTTTTATCGCTGCAACAGGAAATTGAACCAGTTAAAAAATTCAACGTAGGAAGAAATTACGCAGTCAATTTCACGGAAAAAGTCGGAAGTTGCGCTGAGGAATTAAGAAACTTTCACCTTCTTGGTTCTGACCTCGAAAAAGTTAACTTCTCTCCTCTTTCAATGCCGTTCGAAAACCTCTTTTAGCAAGTTTTATTACAGTAAGTTCTCTGAAATGGAGGGAGATAACCCCTGTGGAGGGGACAAATAAGGGCGTAGAAGTAAATGTCAAATGTCACCCACTTTTTTCTTTATTTTCACATTACAGCTACGATCTGCAATCACCAAAACGCCACATAATAAACGTCATATAACTTGATCTAGTTTGACTCAAAGTGACAACGCTTTCACTTTGAGCCAAAATTTTCTGAAATTATTCAGAGATTATGATTCTGCTTACAATGCTCTGCGTGCCCTTCTGGTACAGGCATTAAATTCAACAAATCATGAAGAAACCAAACTGACACAGAGGTATCGATATACATGAGATATCGGTTATTCCTTATGTAATGAGAGATGGAACATGAATACTGCCATGCTAAGAAAAAACGCCGTATGAGCCATCGGGCGTTGCCGAATTTCCTTTGACAAATCACTAATTTTCAGGAAAATTTGTGAATATTTTTCTGCCAATTTCTCAGGTAATTTTGCATGCAATTTGATCTTAAAAGTCTGCAAATTTTAAGGAAAAATACTAATAATTTTCCTCGAAAATAAAAATTTTATCGGAGGAAATTTGGCAACTCTCAAATGTTCATACGGCGTTCTTCCTTAGCACGGCAGAATGTGCCTCCGTTAACTCCGTTAGCGGAACAATCATTACGAAATAAATGATCTCGCTTATCTGAACCCTCCTCCTCCTTACTGTGTTACACGAGCTGATCAGCACTAAGCAAAAAGGAAAGACGGGAATAGATCGATGACATCTCCCTTTCCATCAAAGCACAGCTGATTTAAATATACAACTGACCCATAAAACGATAATTCACACCTTCACATTTGCATTATCTGATTGCTTCTCGTGCATTACTGATGGGTGAGCTTATAAAGAAGAAGAAAATAATAATACAGTAATCTCTCTCTATAACGAGAACTCAAGGGACCGGCTGATTTCTTCACCATGGAGAGGTTCTCGTTAAAACGATAGTCGGTCAGGGAAAGGCGGATGGGCTTCGACATCAATGACTCAATAGACTAAGATACCATTCAGAGGTTCAAAATCTTTTAAAATCCCTTGATCCTAGGATTGCAGGTTCAGGGTGCACACAGGTTCGGGGTGCCGGAAATGGTGTAGATTGCGGGAGGTCTGGCCCCGAGATATTACGCAGTTTCATCAATGGGCCTGTTGCAAACTTTTGCTAGAGCAAAACTAAGAGTTGTTCCTTACAGATAATGCTTCAAAAATCACGATGAGCGCATCGGCAAAGTCTGAAATGCACTCATAACTTCACAATCTGCCCAAGAAATTTGCGGTTTTTTGAGCTTCCCGCTTCGGAAACGATACTACGGTACAGGTGAACATTTTGTTAGAGGAGTCGTTCCATTGGCGGCAATACTCATCATGGCCGACGCCAGTCCGCCGAAACACCTGTGATGGGACGAGATAACATCTGAACAGGATTAAACCAGATAACAATCGGCGTGTTTACGTTCATATTTTCCTCGCCCGCCTTAATTGATCTTGAACTCTCCTCGAATTACTCGCGGAACTGCGCAAGCGTCGGCCATGATGAATATTGCCGACGATGGAGGGACTCATCTAACAAAATGTTCACCTGTGCAGTAGTATCGTTTTTGAAGCGGGAAGCTCAAAATAACGCAAATTTCTTACGCAGATTGTGAATTTATGAGTGCATTTCAGACTTTGCCGATGCGCTCATCGTGATTTTTGAGGCATCATCTATAGGAAACAACTCTTCATTCTGCTCTAGCAAAAGTTTGCAACAGGCCCATTAAAGCGCGCATTGTAGTGAACGCGCAATGCGTGAAGTATTTCTACACTCTTGAAGGCGCTCATGAGCTTATCGCGCTGACCGGCGCGGCGGAGACTGCACTGTATTTGGCGCAATGCGTGAAGTATTCTTGGAGCCTTGTAGGCGCTCATGAGCTTACGGCGCTGACCGGCGACTGCACTGTGTTTATCGCAATGCGTGAAGTATTCCTGCCTTCGCGTCAACGCTAATATGCGTTTCGCGCTGACCGGCGGCCGCACTATATTTCGCAAAGTTAGAAACGATGATATAGCATTAGATTTGAAAGAAACTGAGGAAACAGAAGAGCGCGATGATTTGTTGGAAGGGGTAAAATTTATGGAACAACCCATGCAAAGTGCAGACAAAAATATTCGAATAAAGTGTTTATCGAAAATTGAATAAAAAAAGCAGCAGAAGATAATGCAAATTTTCACCCGTGATAAAGAGACTTACATCGGAGGAAAATTTGGACGTAGAGAGACAGCGTTTATTTTGCCAGTAAAGGATTGCTCCGAAGAGTTTGAAAAGGAAATAAGGGCAGATTTGCGCAAACAAGTGAATAAGTTCTCACCTGAGAATGTAAAACTACACTTCTTCAAAAAAAATGGAAAATATTGAGATGGAATAGGCTAAAAGCAGGTAGACCACAAGGTGTAAATAGCTGAGATTTCATCGCTAATTCAGCAACGCACCATCCAGAGTGCATTGTCAAGTTGTATTATGGTTTTTATTCTGCTTTGCCTCATACTGAAACGGATAATTTATATTTTTAGAGATGGTTTCAACGTACCTGCATGTACAAATTATCATATTTCATTGAATGAATTGCCAGAAGCCATTTTTCACATTACATTTTTCAGAAAAGACACTGAAGTCAAAATTACTTAAAATATTCGTGTAGTGAATTATAATATTCATTAAGGACCGGCCTGGGAATAGTTTGGTATTCTATAGCCCTTTTCTCAAAAGAACCGATTCGAATTCAATTATCATTAAATTCATTCCGGAGTTATTTTATCACTTACATTGACCTCATAGTCTCCGTAGTTCCGTAGTTCCGCAGTTTCCGTTATCAAGGTACTAAAATTCTAATACTCGGATTCGCCTCATAAGTTTTAATACTCATTAAAACTTTTCAGAGGGAGAAAAATCGAGAAAGAACAACTGACCCATTTTTTTTCTTTTTTTTGAGTTTCATGCTATTTCATTCACCCGCGCAACGCGCAACACCATAGCAAAAAAAAAATCCTATAACAATTTTCTATTTTTCTACGGCTACACAGTCATAAATACCCTCTGCGAAACAGATAATTTTTCGATTATGAGAACTCCACGACGTAAGAACTCCATTCCACCGTCCTACTTACAACAGCAATTTTCCCGAGTCCTTCCTACGAAGTACCACACTATTCCATCCTTCCACCCAACACCTCCAGATAAAAGAATTTCCTCCGACCGCTCCCCTTTTCCCTGCGGTGTCACAACCACGCAGACACCGCGCAAACCTGATAATTTTTTCGATCGTAAGAATCCACGCTATAAAAGCGACTCATATGTATGTATGTAAGAATCCACGCTTCAGAGCTCCCCTGACCTCTCCCACTGGCCTACTTACGACTGCTATTTTCCACAGTTTATGGCAAAACCACAGACTCCAATCTGCCCTCTCACCCCGCCCCTCACCCTCGAAGAGTGAATCAAATTGTCCGAATCATTAGAACGCGGGACAGAGGCGGAGATTAGCGCGACGGCCTGGTTCTTCCACGAGGATCGCGCTATGCAAGTCTGTAAAATACAACCTAACCAACCAAGAACCTCGTAAGTGCGATGGGAAACTCGTTTCAGATACGTGGTTACTGCCCGGCTCAGCGGAATACCGGCGCATTGTTCGACCAGGATTTACGGTGCAGGTCTGGAGCCCGTCCAACCACCCCCTCCCCCCGCAACCCCCTCGTGTCGTCTCTTGCGACCCTCCGCGAAGACACCTTTCCCCCTTTTAAAAAGGCATGGGTGCTCCAGTTTCGCTGAGTTTCGTTTTTTGCCCCGCCGAGATTGCGGTGAGGTTGAGAGCTCGTGCTCCTGGGCCCGTTTCGCGTCGCGGAATATTCGGGATTTTTCGGCCGTTCTTGCAACGTGGCGCGGGGACCGGGGGTGGAAAGGCGACGGAGGGGGTGAAAAAAACATTTTTAAAAGTTTCTCGCGGTTATTAAGCTCGGGCTGGTTCTCATTTCGCCGCCGTTGTTTTGACTATCTCAGATAAGGTCCCGCGGCTTTGTCGTGGAAAAAAGACGTTGGGTGGTACTACCTCGAAAAGGAGGACTCTCCGACTGGTTTTCGAGCGATTTCGCGTGGAGAGGAATCGCCAGGAGATGGAATTCGACGGTCGGAAAAACTTGCCATTCACTAAAAAAAAAAACACATGGGATCCAGAGTCCATGACTTTTGAAAACATTTAAAAGAAAAAAATACTCTCGATTCAATCGGATTTTTGCTTGAATCAAAACGAAATCCGCTTAAATTAAGAGGCTTGGTTCTTGATTTAAGGTAGATTCTGATTGAATCAAGAGTACTTTTTTTTTTTTTTTTTCCAGTGTAAGAAATCGGTCATGACTCCTAAAAAATGAGGGCTCTGCGCCAACGTGGCCCCTACAAATTGCTCCATCCCCACCCAAAAAAGGCCTAATTTCATTGTTTGGTGATTTTTCGAAATTTCCCTCAAGTTACAGCTATTAGTCCTGTAACTAAGACACCTTGCGTTAAACGCTTTACTAAATGCGCCGTGATATATAGGCAACAAGTCAATTTGGCCCCTAAAATTCGAGCTTGATGCGCCGCATGGCTCCTGAAACTCAAGGGTGAGTTTCGAACACTGAACCTGAAACGTACCTATGTTTCACTTACTCCGGCGACCGGACGGGGCGCACGGTCGTGTTTGACATTTTGCAGCCGACTATCCTGAAAACCTGAGCGTCGCTCAATTTGCGCGCCACGGAACGG